TAATGAGCCTGCTAAATGGCTCTAGTTGCTCAGCGAAGCTAGATTAAAACTCAAAAACTTTTTATCAATTTTTTTAATGACTGGGAGAATTTTTCGCAAAGTTCTTCATACTGTTCGAATTAAGATTGAAATGTATTAAATTAAAGGATCAATCGACTCATTCTAATAATTTTTGCCGTATAATTTGCGGTTTGAGGACATAATAAATTTACCCGTTCACCTTGTTCGCTCCAAATTAGACCAAAAATCAAATGTTTCAAACCCGTTATTCTCGACACTCAGAAACGTTTTTCAAAATTATCTAACAGTCATTCGACTAATGACTGAAAGAGATTAAATATAATATATCACTCGGCCTAACACGATGATTATTTCTGATTTTGCATGAAAAACGAAAAGAGAAGAAACAACTTAAAAAAGGTTGAACTAAAACCTACCCAAATAAAAACTTCCTTCTCATTTTTCAAATGGTTGAACCAATCAAAGAAACAAGTAAAGTGCTCAAATAAAAACACCGATTTTTTTTCTTTTTACATTCGTTGGCATTAATTTGATTATTGATTTTAAAAGTGGTAAATAACAGAAAAAATGATAATCAATTGAAAAATGTTTCCATGAAAGCTTACAATGGGTTGTCAGAGTATATTTTTTTAAGAAAATCGATAACCAACAACGGCTTTGCTTCAAATTTCTGTAAATCAAAAAGTCAACTATGGGTATTTTTTTGATAATTTTCATTCTAAGTTGGAAGTGAATCTTTGCAAAAAAATTTTTTCTTATAAATTTGTTATCATTTAGGCACTCACCAGCTTTTTGGACGGAAAATTTGCGAACAAGTAATTTAGAAACGTTTTGAAGTTATGTGCCTATGTGCCACGATTTTACAATGAACTGATATAAGTGACGATAAAATTTCAACAAATGTTATTTACAAAATTTCACATTAAATTTGATTCTGAACCATCATGTTAAAAAGTTAGCTTATCACGTTTGACCTCTGAAATTCTTCAATTACATTAAAAGTACTCTGATTCTAAAAAAAATTAAGAGATGAATGAAAAACCAAAAATGTTTTAGGACTAAGCTTTCAGTGTCAACTCGCAAAACCTAAACACAACGCGCGGGTTCAAGCCAGGCTTCTCTTTCCTGATAAGTATTGCTAACAGTCTTAAAAAACTAGTTTGGTCATTCGACCTACCTTTTATTAACAACTAACATCTGAGCTTTTTCCTTTTAGCCTGCGTTGCTAAAGGTCTAGGTATACCGGTGAGCCAGTTTTATTACGTTCCGCAATTCTAGTGGTCAAATGCCGAGCAGTTTGTTAGACATAGTTGGAGGTACATTCACTTCAAGACAGTTTTTACGCCACTCTTGACTTGAGGTCACTATAAAATGCCGACTTCAGTGACCAATGTTTAGTAATTGCATGCTCTCGTTGTATCCATAGTTTTATCAAACTACTCTCAATTAAATTTGCTCCTAAATACTCCATGTACAGTGCCTTGGATAACACCACGCTTGTATTGAGTTGAAGTGCAGCCCCTAGAGTTCAATGTAGTCCCAGCATATGTTGGTTTTTGATACCAATTGCAGGTTACCTCCTTATCTCAAAATATCTTTCCTTCAAAAGCAGGAACGGCAAATTTCCATTTCGATGAGTTTCCTCAAGAAAAAAACTGAAGATTTGGATACAGAGAAACGGGAGCGCAAGAAACTTATTGACTCAACTTTAACTGTTCTATGAATGTCATTATTATATCTGAGCAACAATTTTACATGTGGAGTATCCTTCTCAATGTTCTTAGCGCGGCAGCAGATTTTGCAATACAAGAGTATCTCGATTATTGATGCGTAAACATCATTCGATAGTTTTTCACATTTGGATTGGTACCAGTTTCAGCATCTCTCGCATTCAACCCCCTTTGATCTTTTTTTTGTGTCATGCTGAGTTGTTGTTGAAGGATAGGCCAGGAACAGTTGTAATAACGCCCTCGTATTATTTTCTCACACGTCTGTCTGTTAAAAGTGTTAATGATGCGAAACAGCGAGCTAGCTGCTGCAAAAAGAAATAATTCTTCAATCCAAATAAAATGCCATATTCTGCTGGTGACAGTAGTTGTCTGTGTAACATATGACGAGCACTTTCAGTGGCAATTTTTTTTCTTTTCAATTGGGGTTGTCATTTTGATTGACTCAAGTAATTTGTTCGATAGATTTTTCTTAAAATCTTTACTCTTCACTTCTCCCGGAATTTTTTACACCTTTGACGCCTGTTAAAACTTCAAATTTGTAGTTGAGTTTGTTTTTTTTTCAACTTTTTAAAATGTTATTTAGACCAAATATAATAATATCCTCAGTGTTTTTGTAATCAATATAAAAAAATTGCATCAAAAATAATCTGATATTTTTTTCACAGCTATCCTCCAATTCTTGTTGTCCAATTTCGATGTCCACAAAAAAAAAAGTGGCGTGGAAGTATTGGACCATTCGCAGGAATTGGACAAAAATGTTTGCTTAGGCTGTTTCTTTAGTTTGAAAAACGGAATATCCTTGAACAGTCGTTTTGGTACAGCTGTGTGCTTTGATATCCAGTATGTTTCTTTTTTTTTCACAATTTTTTTTGTTGTTGACCTTTTTTTGCAATTCAGTTTATTATTGCAGTTCCATTTTGTTCGGTTCAGTTCAGTTTTTTTCTAATCTCTTAGGCGTTTTTGTCGCCTCTATCGATCATCTAAGGATGTACTCCTTTTCGATTAATTCGTGTCAAAATTATCAACGCTTTTCTTCCAATATGTATCCAGGTTGATCTTGAAAAGTCTTCAAGTCAATTACTTCTCCTGGCAACGTATTCAAATCTGTAGCTGATCTAATGCTAAAAAAATTTTCTCCGTAATTCAAGGGTGGCCTTCTTCGTTATCAATTTCTTGTCGTTTGTCCTTGTGTCACGATTAGTTAATTCAAACATGTCTTTTGTAGCTTTTGGGTCATAACGGTTGTAAACTATTTTATACATTTCGATCATTGTTCCTCGCCTTCTGCGGTATTCAAGTGACGGTAGGTTTAGTTTTTTTTAACCTTTCATTGTAGCTTAGTGTCTGCAGCCCTTGTACCATTCGTGTCGCTCGTTGTTGCAAAGTTTCGATTAATTTTGTGTTCTTCTTTAATTAAGGGCACCAGACTTGATTACAGAACTCCAATTGAGGCCTTATCTGGCCTTTTTAATCATTTAAAAACACAGGTATAGCAACTTTAATGATTGTTTTCTTAAAAACTGCAATGATAGAATTTGTCTTTTCAACTTTTGCAAATACATGAGAGTCAAAGGCGAGTTTTTTATCGATGACCACTCCAAGGTCTTTTTCTTGACCAACTGTTTCAAGCTGTTTATTGTAAGGTTCATATGATCTGATCACGATTTGATTTTCCATATGAGAACATCATATGTCCATAGTTATCTTCATTAAAAAGCAAAAGACTACTTTTTGACAATTCTTCCAGTTTTCTTAGATCATCTTGCAACAATTCAACGTCTCTGCCACTGGTAATTTCTCGGTATAGTTTTGCCTTGTCTGTAAATATATACAATTTTGATTTGAATGTGTTGGGCATTGAATTTTTATTTTTCACAATAAGACAGGTTGCAGTACAGATCCCACTCAGAACATCTTTCCATTCAAATCTACTGTCGTTTATCACAACTCGTTGTCGTGTTGTTGTTAAAAACTCGTTGATCCAGCCTAATGTTTTCTCTTTTATTCCATATTGGTTTAAGATTCATATCAGTTTTTCGAGCGGAACCGTGTCGAACGCTTTCTTGAAATCCAAGTAGATAACATCCGTTCCTCGGCGACTATCTATTGTATTTGTGAAGTCATCCAGCACTCTCAGTAGTTGTAATTGTGATGGTCTACCGGACAGGAAATCAAACTGTTAATTTACAAGGATTTCTTTTTTTTCTAGATGTTCCATAAGATGGGCTCTAATTTTTTTCTCAAATATTTGACATCCTGTTGATGTTAAGCTTACTGGACGATAGTTGTCAGCAACGACTTTTTTCCTTTTTTGAAGATAAAAACAAGGTGAGCAAGTTTCCAATCTTGAAGTAGCTTAGTTTCGTCCCAAGATTTGTTATAATTTTTGTTAGAATTTGAGTCAGGAAATCTCTCAATTCAAACAGAAGTTTCAAATGAATTTCGTCGGGCCCTGGAGATTTCGATGTATTCAGTGAGTCTAGTTGCTCTTTCACCAATTGCTCCGTTATTTCTAAGTCCTTTATTGGATGGGTGATATCCAATTCTGGAATCTTCCATTCTCCTAGCTATGCTGTAAAATTGTGGAGCGAACCAAACCCACCCCCCCCCCCCCAGGGAACAGCAAAAAAAAACATTGTTATGATAATAAAAACAGTGTTTTGTGATTGTAGATATCACTATCTACCCCATAAAAATACCTGGCAATCTTTGAGCAAGATCCAACAATTATATGAAACGGGTTAATTCCTTGAGAATAAGACATTCAGAGCTCTAAATTTGTTTAATAATTGTAACGTAGCTATTCAGAAAAATTTGAATAGCTAACTCATGTCATCTTATCCTAAAAAGTGTCTTCATAAATTGAAGTCACGCTCCCAAATACTGCATCTCAAATACTGAATCCCATATACTGAATTTCAAACACTGAATCCCAAATACTGACCTAATTCGGCGATATCTCGTCAGGACTCTGTCATCTCATCCCAAATCTTCATGATTTGAATTCACGCTCCCAAAAACTGAATCTCAAATTAAAAATCCCAAATACTGAATTTCAATTACTGACCTAATTTGGCGATATGTCAACCCAATAATGAATTAACCCAATTACCGAACTAACCCAATGAATTTGTTCGGTGCTGTGTTTCCAAAACTATGATCCCAAAAACTGCCTGCAAATACTTAAGTGTGACATCCATCGATTTAGTGAACCAATGTTTTAAGATTTGTTCGCGGATTCTGCTGACAATGGGTAAGTCCTTGCTTTTAAATTCCGCAAGGGTATATGCAAGTTCACTAACAAACAAACTTCTGTTATTCTTTACAGTTTGCGGAATCCGCTTACACCAAAACAAGTAGCTATATTTGTTTATTGCGGAATCCGCAACAAATTAAAGGTGCCGACAAAATTTACGTTAGAAGTATATGTACGCTGAATGTACGTAAACCTTAAAAGTGGAATCCATTGACATTTGGGAACATGTTTAAATACTTGTCGCTGGAAATCAGGAATTTGGCCTCGTACTGAGAAAACGGTTTTTTCCACTTTTTTCTACTTGATTTTGAAAACCATATCCCCACACGCTATGTAAAAAACAAAGTGATTTATTTTGCATATAGCAAAGTACTAAATAGATCGAATCTACTTAACAGTGTCCCTCTTTCAAAAAAGGGAGGGAGATTGTTAGGTAGATTGAATCAGCGAAGTGTTTACCGATCAGACTGCAGAAAAGTTCCAGTTTTGAATGGAGCGCTCTAGTTATCTAGTTTTCGATCATTTTCTGTGAAAGTCGGGGCAATAAAGACGGGAATTTAAGGATCCAGCTTTTTAGAATTAATTTGTGGCGCGACCAACCTGTAATTTGTTAAGCGTTTATTTGTTTAAGGTAAAATTTAGTAAGATCCAAAAAACGGGGTTCTCTATTTAGGTTTGGCCTCCATCGTTTAATCAATGTTATTTATAAGTGTCCTGGCAAGTGTTTTCTGCTAATCCAGAACGTTTCATATCTGCACATCTCCGTCCATATATATTTTTAAGAGATCATTTAATTTAATAATTTCAAAATTTATGTAATTATGAATTTTATATAAAAAACTTTTTTGCATTGTGAAAAGTAGTAGCTTCAGTCAGCCATATTAAAAATTTTATTTGGTTTTGATCAAAAAAGCTATGTTTTTTTGATAAATGATATATTGATTAAAGGTCACTTTTCTCATTATAGAAATAATAACAAAAATTTCAGTTTTCCGAGACTGAGGTTGATTTTGGGGGTAGATCAATTTGCTCTGGTGTGTAAATGCGAAAAAGCCGACAAAATGTGAATTATTCAAGCCAATAGAATGCAAAAGATAACGACAAAGCAGAATGTTCAGAACCGCCAAGACTTATTTCTCTTCTGTATGTTACAAAACATCGTACAAGAAACTTTTTTCAGCCAAATTTTTCCCAGCTTCATTTTTAACTTTAGTTTAATTATCATCTGCAGTCAAAGAATCTACTTAACAATCCCCCCATGGTACTTACTTAAGAATCTCCACTCCTATAAATAAAAGCAGTAAATTAGCGTTAGTTTTTTGCGTGGAGAATTCTAATTTTGTTGCATTCTGATTGGTCGAAACATCGATAGTTTTGATCTACTTAACAACCCCCCTTTCTTGAAAGGGGTGGAGAATTTTAAGTAGATCTATATCAAATTTAAATTAATATTGACACAGTATGTGGTATAAAAATTAAACGATGGGGAAAAGTGACAGTCTTACTAAAGACTGAAGCTCCTCGTTTGCCTTTCAATACGCCACCTTTTCAGCACAACAGCTGATCGCAAATAGACACTTCAAGTTCTTTCACTGGACATACCAAGTCAAAAGGTTCAAACTGATTTTGTACCAAAGCAAGTGATCTTAGTCAACTCAAAATATAAAACGTGGTAGAAAAATTAAGACAAGTCAATCGAGCAATTTTTTCGTTGTTCTTCATATTTATGTACTCGTAGTTTATAGCCTTTTAATTACATTGGTCTACAAACAAAAAACGTTTATTATGTCTCCAAGATTGTTGCATTATTGTGAGGTGTTATTGATATGCTTTTTACTTTTGACTACCAAGCTGTTCTGGGATTTAATTTTCGACAACTTCGAACGTGATTCAGATGTTCCGAACAACCATGCACTGAATATGCCGGTTGTAAATGATACTGCCATTGTTCAGTTTTCAATGGGAAGCGGAATGAATGAAAAAAGGCTATTTCTCAGTCCCCCCTTGATTCTTTCAAATTAAGAAAACCAAATAAAAACAATTTTTGATATTCTAAACAGCAATAAAACGTGTCTGCATGAACTATTGAACAAATTTTTACAACACTAATTGCCTTATTAACTATTTATAAAATGAATTATATTTTGTAACTTTACGAAGGAGGAGGGGGGGGGGGGCTGAAAAAATTTCAAAACAGAAAGCGGTACCCAACTGCGATCCTAATTGGGGCCCAAAAATGCGGAACGACAACACTGAAAAAGTTTTTGAACTTTCACCCGTCGATAGTTGCAGCAAGTCATGAGCCTCAATATTTCAACAAGGATGCAAACTTCGAACATAGCCCTAATTATCAGGTTTACCTGGACTTCATGGAACCCTCGCTTCCAAACCAGATAACTCTGGAAAAGACTCCGTATTTTGCACTTAGAAACACTCCGGAGCGAGTGCGGAATTATGAGAAATTTCTGGGAGTGAAGTTGAAACTGATTCTGATTGTGCGGGAGCCAATTCACAGAGCAGTTTCTTGGTTCCATCATCAGGTAAGTCACCATAGTTATAGTCTGAGTTTTACAAGGTACAATTACAACATCTAGCACTGGAGACGATCGGCATTTTATCATGTGTTCGGTATGTAACAGTTCAAAATCGGGGAGTGGGGGGTTGGAGGAGGGGCGGAGAGGGGTCTAGTTTTTCATTTAGTCGGCCAAAAAAATTTCGCATCGATTTTTGGTCAAACTTAACGTCTAGGAAGTCAATAAGCTGTATGGGGAATTATGTAGATCAAATCCAAAATTTGACTCTTTCACGTTAAGGTGACATCTCAAACAGCACGTGACTCTGTAGGTATAGCTTTCTGATCGTTGCTACTTTTGATTATTACTCGTAATGTGACAAAGATGGGTAAAACTTGGAACAAAACTTCGTGAAAACCCACAAATAGTGATCAAATTCACCCCATAGATGTGAAATGCCGCGCAAAAACTGAAAAACTACAAAAGTAATTCTCAATTTTACCATTTTGCAGTTGAAAAATATAAGATACGAAACGTATACGTAAAGGACCGTCATCATCCATGATCACCCCCACCCCCCCTCCTATCTCCCGTCCTTAGCCTAAAATAAAAACATAAACCTTTGCAATGTGATTTTACCTGACAACATTTCAACAAAGCCCAAAATCTTCAGCATCATCCAGCAACTGTTAAAGTGATCTAACCCGTTGAACAATCAAAAAACTCGACAAAAATACGTTTATTCAGTTCCGTTAATTATTACGTTAATTTCATAATTAACTTTTTCACAATTGAAATGCAAATATGGGCGGAGTGGAAAATAATAATATAATCATAATAAACTGTTTCCAAACGGTGTCTCGAATTTCCCATTCCGAGACCAAACTGTGCAATTTGTTAATTGTAAGTGGATTCCGCAACAGACTAGTCGAATTTCAGAGCAGTCCATTCCAAAGTAGTCGAATTTCCTATTACGAGGCCAAACTGCGCATTTTGTGAACTCTAAATGGATTCCGCAACAGACTAGTCGAATTGCAAATTAGTCCATTCCAAAGTAGTCGAGTTTCCCATTACGAGGCCAAACTGTTCATTTGGTGAGTTTTAAGTGGATTCCGCAACCGGTTTCCATCAAACTTGTTGCAAAATCTGCAGCATTGCTACTTTTCTTTGATCTTCGTTGCTGTTTTGGATTCCACAAACAGTTAGCCAAATCACTGTATTGCTCAATATTGCCCCCAAAAATTACAAAATTGCGGAATACGAAACAGTTTGTGGAATTCTCAAACAAATGATTTAACAAACAAATGAATCCACAGTTTTGAGCGGATTCCGTAAATTTAAGTGGATTCCGCAAATTGTAAGCGAAATCTGCAAAGTGCAAGAGGAATCCGCATTTTGTTTGCGGACTCCAGTAATATATATAGTAGCGTCTTTATACACATTTTTTCTTCAAATTAAATTGCGCTAATATATATAATATCGTCTTTAAATACATTTTTTCTTCAAATTAAATTGCGCAATCATCCTAAAATTTGCGGAATCCGCTTCATTTGCGGAATCTGCTTACAAACATTGCGAACTCCATTTACATTTGCGGAAACCGCTTACCGTTTCGGAATCCAGCACAACTAGTTATATTCGTCTTTTACGGGATCCGCGAAAGATTGAATATGCCGACAAACGTTACGTAACAGATTTTTATATGCGGAATCTACAAAAACCATGTAGCTGGAAATTTTTACTTTCGAAAATTTTTTTAAAATTTGTTTCAAGAATCCAGGAACATACAGTCGCAAAAATTTGCGACACAAAATTGTGAGCATAAAGTGAAGTACAAAGAAACAATCTGCTGGCAATATTTAGTATGCTAGTAATGTCAAGTTTCAATGCTTGATGCCAATGTTAAAACAATTTTTCATGATTGAAATTCAATTAAGGGCGGAATGGACGAGAGTCGAAACTTTACAAAGTTTTATTTTGACAAATGAATCTTTTACGGTGCAAAAAAAGTTTAAAAAATTAAATGTTAAAATAATTTCAGTTTTAGGTAATTTTTCGCTGAAAAAATTTTCTAGAGAAGCGAAGGAGCCCGGGATCACTGTTTTCCAATAGCTGCTTTTCCCCCTGTTTTATGTTTGATTAGTTCACCTACTGCCACTGTTCCATTTTCCCCAAACTTTCAAACTATCGTTATCAGTGTAACTTCACATGCTATTATGGCTGAATGCAGTAGCGCACCAAGAGAGGGTCGCGTGGCGAGGTTGGGGATTGCGTTTTCCTTCTCCCCCTCAATTCTGAATGCCAAAAATCCGAAAAGTCTCTCCTGTGGTATAATTTTATAACATCATTTTTTGGCTTACCAACCTGAAAAATGTTTAGAGGCGCTTTCGGTGCCGATATAACTAAATTAGAGGGGCGAGCGCGCGCCAAAAAAAAACGCTATTTTCTTGTCAATTTTTAAAAAAGAAAATGCTCAAAATGTCATTTTAGACTTTTTTAGCAATTGCTAATTTTGGAGGGCACGGAAAATCAAATAGTTTGACGTAGTAAAAATCAACAAAACTGTCCCCTATCTCTTGAAAAGTTTCACCGCACGACACCGGTTGAATGTTTGAGCAATCATATTCAACGCACATGTTCAGTAGTCATTTGTTTCACTGAATTTAAGGAAATTTGGACAATAGTAGCCTAATTTTCAAAAAAAAACGCTAGATTTTCACTACTTCCTGCACATTATAGGTTTTAATAAACATGCCAAAATCTGCTTGGTAGCCGGATCAAAAACACTATTTTAACTCTAATAGGGGTTCGAACTGAACCTGGTTAAAATGAATAAAGCTTAAATAAGAATCAACAAAAATAAAGCTTTTAAAATTGAAAGTGCTATTAAAAATTTCAGCAACTATTACTAACAACACTTGCTGCTTTTGCACCAACTTGCAAAGCTCTCGCCTTTGGCAAAAAAGGTTTCATATCTGCACATTTCTAACTATGCGTATTCTTGAGAAAAAAATTTATATTATTGATTTCGAAAAATTACTTTGTAATGATTATTGTATGAAAAAATTTCAGCTTAAATTGTGAGTTGTAGTAGTTTCAGTTCGCCATTATAAATTTATTTTTGGTTTTGATAAAAGAAACTATGTTTGTTATAACTGATACAACGATTAAAGGTCTCTTTTAATATTAAAAAATAATAACAAAAAATAACAGCTTTGCGCCTGCACATCTCCCTGCATATTTTAACAAATATTATTGGGTTGTTGTAAAGTAAAATTGACATGCTTTCTATTTTGGACTACAAACTTGTTCTGGGATTTAAATGGCGACCATTTTGAAGGTTACTCAAACATTCTGAGTGATTATGCACTGAATATAACGGTTGTAAATGAAAATGTCAAAATGTCATAGCCTGTTTTTTTCTTAAAATTTTTTTTTGGAGTGCTCGGAAAATCAATAATTTGACCTAAAAAATGTAACAAACTTTTCTATCGGTTTTATAGTAAAACTCGTTTAAACGAATGAATGAAGTTTTTAGCCAGGTTTTCTGAGTTTCAGATAGTTTGAAAATAATATGAATTTCAAGTTTGTTTGGAAAACATATATGCTTTACAGAAGAATGTTTCCATTCAAGAGTACTTTAATTTCTACTACAGAAATTCAAAAATCAAAAAATTGCACAAACTATTGCATAAAAACTGAAACTAGTTTCAATAGCACTGACAATTTTTTAAACATTAATGTTTAGGTGTTACAAATGGTTCACAAAGTTCAATCTGAGGACCTATTAGAGTTGAAATTGTTCTACCAGTCCGGGTTACGAAGCCAACGTTTGGTATACTGAATATGATCTGTGAAGTGCAGGAATCAAAGAAAAATTTGTTGATTCTTTTTCACCGCCTTAATCAGAATTTACTAAATTAAATTTTGTCACAAAGTATTGAAATTTGACGAAGCAAAAAACTCTTGGACATGTTCAAAATATGCTCCAAAAAGTCATGTTTGGTTTTTTACAACAGTTTTATTTTTTTGTTTTGGAGGGCTCGGAAAATCAAGTGTGTCGGTTTTTAAAAAAAGTCAACAAAATAACTCCAAAAACCGCCCCTCCCTAGAAAAATATCTGCGCACACGAACGGCTGAATGTGTGATTGATTTTGTTCAACAAATATATTCAAGGGTAATTTGCTTCACCAATTTTCAATACTTTGTGACAAAAGTATTTAAATGTAACAAATTCGAGTTCAGGCTTTGAAAAATAATTCACTAGTTTTTCTTTATTGGCTGCAAATTATAATCAACACATCATCTGCACATCATAACCTGCACATCATAATCAACAATTCATAATGAAAATAACAAAAAGTTTGCTTTGTAACGCTGGCATGGTAGGACTATTTCAGCTCTAATAGGTCTTCAAATTGAACTTTGTGAATCACATTTAACACCTGAAAATTAATGCTTGAAAAATTGACAGTGCTATTAAAACAATTTTCAGTAGTTATGTAACCATTATTGCAACTTGATGGTTTTAGTGATTTTTAAGTAGAAATAAAAATTGCCCTGAATCAAAACCTTGTGGAAAGCATTTTTACTTTCATCAACTTGAAAATTCGTATTATTTTCAAACTATCTGGAAACTTGGCTAAAGTTTCCTTTAATGGTTTAAACAGGTCTTTCAACAAAACTGTTGGATCTATGATCAGCATGCGAATAAAGTTTTGAGATTCGAAAAATATTGTCTTTCCAATTTTAAAGATTAAGCTTTGAACTCAATTACATTTGAAGTGTTAATGATTAACTTCGAATCTCAAAAATCTTTTTTACATGCTAGTCAAATAGTCAATGGTTTAATGGAAAAACAGTTTATACGAATAAATGAAACTTTTGCCAAAATCTACGAGCTCTTTATTTTGTGTTTTAGCCTTTTTTTGCGATTTTTAAGCTTTGTTTAAATTAAAATTATTTTTTTTTGGTTCTAGATAATTCGTAAAAAATGGTGGTTGCGTATGCTAGAATGCGTATTTACGAGAAAGCGCCAAATTCATTATTGATTGTTATCTTCTTCATCCAATGTTCTTTGAGATGATGTTTTTAAAAATGGTATAATAAAAATAAATATTTTTTTCGAAGTATACCCCAACAAAAACACAAGAGAGAAAATTGAAGGCTTTTAGCATGTCGAGTGACGCCTCAAAAGCAAACACCAAAAACTATCAGTTCATCATAATCAGCTCATCGTCGAAACGTTTTTTTTTTAATTTTTGAATTTTCTTTTAACGAGAAAAAAGAAGCTCAAATATTTTCCTGTTTCAGCTTAGCGACGGAACACTTGATTCAGGTGCAAATATTACAGAGTGGTTGCTGCGAAAAAACGCTTCATATATCTGGGGCTCGAAGTACGGATACCATCTAAATCTCTGGTTGAAATATTTCGACCGGACGCAATTTTTGTTTTTGGACGGCGAGAAATTCACCAAAGACAACCCCGCGATTATATTAAGAAAAGTGGAGAGATTTCTACAAATTTCGAATTATTTCAAAGATGAAGATTTCGGGTTTACATTAGACAAGCCAGGTTTCTATTGTTATTTACGCCAACAAAACGGCTGCCTGTTGAGCAGAGGGAAAACTAGCTACCCTAAAAGACTGACTAAGAGCGGATTTGAGATTTTGAAAAAAAAATTAGAACCAGAATTGAGACTCTTTACTGAATTGGCACAGATCAAACTGAACTGGACGGTTGGCCAAGGGTGTCAGGATTTCATGTTTAGTCACGAACTAACAGCCTGATGACGCGACAGACAAACTTTTGACTTCTTACCGGAATTTAAACAGAACTTTCAAGAAGCACGTAAACAAGACTACTCGTATTAGGGCTAACTTCTGAATGTTCTATCTGCATTTCAGTTTCTATGGAATTAAAAACAATTGATGAAATAAAAAAAAATAGTTTAATTTCCTTTCGAAAATCATCCCCATACACGCCAAGGTGATATATTTTGTTTTTAGCGGAGTGTTAAATGGAACTAAGATTATGTATAAATCCAATTTGGAGCAATTTCTCTTTCTAAGACAAACAAGACTGCTTTTGTATCAGGCTGAAGTTCTAAGTGTTCTGACTGCACAAAAATTTTAAGTTTGAATACATGTAATTGACAGAATAATCGAAAGAAAAAGAAAATTTTATTTAATTTTTTGCCATTTTATTCCTTACACGTTATGTAATATTCAAGGTGTGTGCTTGGCGTATCGTCTTACTTTAACAAGATTAAATTGCTGGCTTCAGTTCATTTGGGAACGCATCAATTTGCCGCTTACGCTCGCTATTAAAATGCAAGATATTTCGCGTCAATTATCCCAAATTGGCCAAACTAGCAAATTTGGAGCCCCTGTATTTAAACGAGAAACAATCACAGGTAAAATTTTGTTCTAAACTTGAGCTAAATTTGAGCAGGACAACACTATCTTTCAGATGCTAAAAATAAAATCCGTCAAAAACGCTTAGTTCAATTGTTGAAAATGACCAAGTAAAAACAAGACGCTGATAACAGAGCTTATCCCTTAAAATTCGAACTTCCCTTCAAGGTCTATAGTGTTTTGTTCTTTTTTAAAAAAGATCATTTAAAAAAAATTTGAAAAAAAATTGTTTCAGAATTTTTTGGTGAAAATCGTCCCCCACACGCCAAGGTGATATAGTTTGTTTTTAGCGGAATATTAAATGGAAGTAAGATTATGTCTAAATCCAATTTGGAGCAATTTCTAAGACAAAATAGACTGCTCTTGTATCAGGGTGAAGCCCTAAATGTTCTGACTGCACACAAATTTTAAGTTTGAATACAAGTAATTAACAGAATAATCGAAAGAAAAAGTAAATTTTATTTCATTTTTTTGCCATTTTATTCCTTACACGTTATGTAATATTCAAAGTATGTACTTGGCGCATCGTCTTACTTTAACAAGATTAAATTGCTGGCTTCAGTTCATTTGGGAACGCATCAATTTGCCGCTTACGCTCGCTATTAAAATGAAAGATATTTCGCGTCAATTATCCCAAATTGGCCAAACTAGAAAATTTGGAGCCCCTGTATTTAATCGAGAAACAATCACAAGTAAAATATTGTTCTAAATTTGAGCTAAATTTGAGCAGGACAACAATATCTTTCAGATGCTAAAAATGAAATCCGTCAAAAACGCTTAGTTCAATTGTCGAAAATGACGAAGTAAAAACAAGACTGCTCATAACAGAGCATATCCTTTAAGTTTCTATGGAATTAAAACGATTGATGAAATTTAAAAGAATAGTTTAGTTTCTTTTAAAAATCATCCCCATACACGCCTAGATGATATATTTTGTTTTTAGCGGAGTGTTAAATGGAACTAAGATTATGTCTAAATCCAATTTGGAGCAATTTCTAAGACAAACAAGACTGCTCTTGTATCAGGGTGAAGCCCTAAATGTTCTGACAGCACAAAAATTTTAAGTTTGAATACATGTAATTGACAGAATAATCGAAAGAAAAAGAAAGTTTATTCCTTACACGTTATGTAATATTCAAAGTGTGTGCTTGGCGTGTCGTCTTACTGTAACAAGATTCAACTGCTGGCTTCAGTTTTTTTTTGGGAACGCATCAGTTTGCCGCTGACGCGCACTATTAAAATGCAAGATATTTCGCGTCAATTATCCCAAATTGGCCAAACTAGCAAAACTGGAGCCCCTGTAATCAAACGAGAAACAATCACAGATAAAATATTGTTCTAACTTTGAGCTAAATTTGAGCAGGACAACAATATCTTTCAGATGTTGGAATAAAAACCCAAAAAACCCAAGTCCAAAGTATTGTTTTTAGCATGTAGAAAAAAATAACATAGACACAATAGCATGCTTCAATTCAGCTTGGAACGATTTCTGAGCCCTATTAAATCGCCGCTTAAGCGTGAATAGCAAGAAATATTTACCGCGTTATTTATCCCAAATGGGCCAAACTGCCAATATTTAAACCACCATAGTTGTACAAAAAACTATCAAAAGTAAAATTTATTGATACAAAAAAAAATGCCACAAATAGTAAGTGAAAATGTCGAAATTTGTCTGGAGAAAAAAACACCCAGAGCACAAATATTTGTCACTTTCTTCAATAATTGAAACAGAAACCTCGCCAACCCGAGCATAATTTTTCTGCACTTTCTTTGAAAGTCAGAGCAGTTAAATCTTTGCTTAAACGGTAGTAGCACAAAAAATATTGCGCGTTAATTGTCCCAATTCTTTAAACCTCCGTAAATTTACAAAACATCATCACATATAAATCGTTTTAATATTGAGCTCAGGACAACAAGACTTTTCAGATGGAATTTTAAAAAACTCTGTTGTTAAAAAGTCGAGCATTCACTGATAAAAAACCACCCAGGGCATGAAGATTCCGTATTTTTTTTATCAAAAACAACTTCATCAGTTTCAGGCCCAAGAGAACGTCATTACACGATATGGCACAGTATGAGATGTCTATGATGCAAACTACACTGTTTTTTTTTGTTTTTATTAATTGACAAATACTATACAGAAAAGCAATAGGCTCAAAAAAAAGTAAGATTGAGAGCGTTTCAAGAAAGGAAAATTTATCACAGATCATTTTTTCACGCTCAGCAATCAAACATTAATGACTTTAGCATGCGTGGGATTCTACTGAGAAGGTTTAATTGGTTTTTTAATCAACGATTTCTGGTTAATTAAAATAGCGACGATTGATCGTTTTTTTAATTGTGACGAACTTTCGCCATTTCAATAGAAGTATTGTTCAATTCTTTCAAAGTTTTGAAAAAAACCGTAAAGGCTCCGAGCTTATAGTTTAAAGGGATCTCAACGCCTTTTTGAGCAAAAGAAGGAGATATGATTTCTGCAAAAGGTAAGTTTTTCGTTCATCAGAACCCTTGAACTTTTTGACTGTGCCTAAACGTATTCAAATTCGTTTTTGAAAACTTCAGATAAAAATCAAAAAAACCTTCAAATAGCCACAAATTTTTAAAAAAGTCCAGAAACAATCAAAAGCGTTTAAGGAAAAATCAAAAAATAAATAACAAGCGGCAACTGAACCGACAAAACTTGAGTACATAACTGAAGTACAAAAATGAACTTGAGTACAAAATTTGGCTCAGTTAGCTTTTCGAGCATGCGTTGTACCACCCAATTAATTAACAAAATGATGGTCTCTTGTTCCAAATTGTTCGAGCAAGATTAAGAAGGGATAAAAAAGGACTCAAAACCGTAAGCTGTACTTTACAAAAGAAAGATAATTTTTCAGTGGGATAAAGTCAAGAAGGATTTTTTTTGAAAACAACTTAATATTTTCTCATTTTCTGCTAATTTGCAAAAAAACTATCAAATAGCTTTCAATTGACATCAGAGGAGAGTTGAAAAGATCTAAGTTTCTCCCTGATACACGCAGCTTTTCTTAATGTCAAAACTTTAATATTAATATTTCAGTTTTTGAAAAATTACCATTTTATAAAAACTTCATCTCGGCCAGACTTCTTGAAACGATGTAAGTATTGGGGTGGAGTGAATCATACTCAAAGAACTGAATGAGCCAAAAGAATTATCAACCAATAAAAAGTGAGTATTCTTTCAAAACATCAAAAACAGAACATGAAAAGTTAGTTGGGCAATGGGTCCTTTTTAATAACTGATTTTAGGTTGAAAAAGGTAATTTTGTCCGGTCAAAACGGCATAAAACTAAATCTGATAATTTAAAACTCTTAGTGCATTTGATTTTTCATGCATGACAACAGTCAGTCCCCTAGTTTTTTTCTCTACTACGCAATAGTTTTCAATGCATTTGCCAGGTTAAGCAATGAAAAACTTTTGTTCAAGTCTCCAGTTCAATTTATTTTGTCGATTACTACAACGTTGATTTCAAAAAAAAAAAAAACACTGCCCTTGCTGACCAGGCAGAGCCATAAATGTTCTGACTTAGAGCTGAAGAAAAATATTCCAAATTGTTTACGAAAGATTAAAAAGGTACAAAAGTAGATTCAAAACCAATAACATGGTACTTTGAAAAAAAAATCATAACTCACAAGGGAGGATAAAATTAGGAAAAGTTTGTTCAAAAAAAACTTTAACTTTGTCTCAAAAATTTGGCAATTTGAAAAATAAACTGTCAAATAGCTTTTAATTGACGTCAGAGGGGAGTTGGAAACATCTAAGTTTCTCCCAGATACGCGAAGTTTTGTTTAAGGTCGATTTTTTTTAGTTCTAATATTTCAATCTTTCAATAAACGACCAGTTTATAGCACAGCGGCGAAGCGGAGCTTTGCAACCTTGCGATGCAATACAAATATTCAAGAAAAAAACATAAGTTGAAAAAAGTTTCAAAATTGCAAAAAATTACGTGAATCAAAACTTTCGTTTGTCTAAAAAACAACTAGGGGTCAGCTGAAGCTGGAAATTGTGTTTCATATTGAATGAATTTGCTATACTGATACGGCAGAAAAAATGTGGTTTCAAAAATTGGACTCCTTAGCTGTTCCCTACTATAAGCCCAAAAGCTTAGTTGTTCCCTTCTTAAACAAGTGAGAAAAATAAACATTTTTGAGATAATAAATTCTCACATAGAGATAACTTGTCTATTACAAAAAATTAAGGAGCTGCCATTTCAGCAGATTAATAATTTCACCTGGTTCTTTCAGTTGTTATTTTTCATCTCGGATTTGATTGTGTCAATTTTAAGAAAAATAAAAACTTACTAAAAAAACGGTCAAAAATTCTAAGAAACGGTCAAAAGGGTTTTCAAAACCCATGATTTTTTCCTGAAGAGAGCAGCTTGTGGTTGTTTAAGCAGAGAAGATTCCCAAAATTGGGTTTCTCGATTGAACACAACCTGAAAACTGGCAAAGCAGTTTTCGCGTAAAGTCAAAAATCTTTCAAAACACGGTCAAAGTTTCAAAACTTCGATTCGTTTGAAGGCCATAACGTTTTTAATAATAAAAAAACAGCCAGGTATAATGGGAGGCTTTCAACAACCTGTTGTTTTGATTAAACCTATGATATCAGA